CAATTTTTCCCTCAAAGTGTGTAACAAATTTGTTACAGTGAGCCACTGAGCAGTCCAGGACCCCCACCGAACCATTAGGCTGAAGAAGGTCCTGGACCACTCAAAATAGCTCTGCTGGGTGACATGACGAAGAAGCAATGCGACTGGAGAAATGCTGGCATTTCGCCAACTGTATCACCACAGAGTAGGCCCGATAATGGACTCTAAACTGTGTTTGGTCATATTTGCAGTGATATTTCCTCCATCTGCGCTCAAGCCGTCTCCCCAATCGCTTCATAGCCAGAAGCGCCGCTGGGTACCATGGAGCCATATAGGCTCTGCGGGCAGGGAGAGGGTGTCTAGGTGAGATCGTGTCAACCGCCTGGGCCATCTTCTTGTACCACAAAGTGACCTGGGCTTCGACAGTAGTGCTGACCATATCAGCTGGAAACTCCCCTAGTGCGTTCAGGAATCCTTCAGGATCCATAAGTCTCCGGGGTGGATTATTTTAATTGATTCCCCCACCCCTGCAGCGGATAGTGGTTGCAGAAAGTCTGAACTTTACCAGGAAATGGTCCGACCATGACAATGGGGTCAAGGATAAACGCACCACATCCGGACCACCATCTTTCTGTCCCATTGAGAATACTAGGTCATGAGTCGGGCCAATGAGTCGGGCCAATGACATGTTGAGACAGCCCCATGGTTGTCATGGCAGCCATGAAGTCCTGAGCCACCCCTGTTAAGTTGGCCTCGGCATGGAGGTTGAGGTCCCCCAGTACCAAAAGTCTCGGGGTCCTCACCGCCAGGTCCGAGATCACCTCCATCAGCTCAGGTAGGGAGACTGTTGGTAAGCGGCAGGGTGAGCAGTACACCAACAGAATTCCCAGTCTGTCTCTTCAGCCCAACACACAATACAGGCCCTTTAGACCATTTTCCAAGGGGACAGGGAGTTGTTTAACCCAGTGGTTCTTAACCTTTGTTACTCGGATGCTTTTGAACTGCAACTCCCAGAAACCCCAGTCAGGACAGCTGGTGGTGCAGGCTTCTGGGAGTTGCAGTCCAAAACTCCTGAGTAACCCAAGGTTAAGAACCAGTGGTTTAACCAATGTTAAAGGAATTTGGTTTTCTAAGTGAGAGTAATCTATATGTGGAATCAGATTTCTCCAGATGCATTTACCATTCTATATGGTGGAACTCATCCACCTGTCTAGGATTCCACCCCATTCATGAACTCTGAAAGCAACATGTACGTGAGGGTTGGGGGGCATAAGTAAAAATAGGGAATATGTAAGAACCCATGAACAAGATTTTCCTTCACAACTTAATGATAGCAATCACTAAAAGGAACGGAAGGGCATAAAAGGCTATTGCAACTGCTTCTATCCACCTCAACCGATATCTGTGAGTGGTCCCCAACCTTGGGCCTCCAGATGTTTTTAGACTACAACTCCCAGAAGCCTTCACCACCACCCCTGCTAGCCAGGATTTCTGGGAGTTGAAGTCCAAGAACATCTGGAGGCCCAAGGTTGGGGACCCCAGATTCTAGACAACAGCACATAGTGAACCCATAGCAGCGTATAGAAAAGATCCTGGTTATGCATACCCCGCCAGTAATACCACTTTTGTTGGCATAGTGTCAGATTTTTTATTATTTATTTATAGCTTCTGTCAAAGACATGGCGATTTCACTGTTCCTGTTTTGGGGTTTCCTGTTACTCTTCAGAGAAGCAGAAGAAACCTTCCTGGAGGCCCCATTTGGATATATCCATTGTGTTTTCACAGGAAGCAACTTATGAAAGTCACTCTTGGGGAAAAGCTTTATGAAGACTCACCTGTTTATTTTAAACAGGCTTCAACTGTTTTGGTGCAATTTGCATGGCCTTTTAAATGCATCAAGCTTTTCATCTTCATAAAACCATTGTGCCAAATCAATTTCCCTATATACAATATTGGTGCTGATGGATTTACCTCCATGATAACTACAGGTTCAAGGCTGTATATTGTCCTCTGGCTTATTTAACTTATATGCAGAATACATCATGTGGAAGGCTGGACTGGAGGAATCCCAAACCGGAATTAAGATTGCCGGAAGAAATATGAACAACCTCCGATATGCAGAT